GTTCCCTGGAAGACTAAGGCATTCCTTATTATACCTTTAACCCACAAACTAAGCCCCGCCGCGGTGGTCTAGTGGCTAAGGTACTCGGCTGCTGACCCGCAGGTCGCGGGATAGAATCCTGGCTGCGGCGGCTGCATTTTCGATGGAGGCGGAAATGCTGTAGGCCCGTGTGCTCAGATTTGGGTGCACATTAAAGAATCCCTGGTGGTCAAAATTTCCGGAGTCCCCCACTACGGCGTCTCTCATATTCATATGGTGGTTTTGGGACGTTAAACCCTACATATCAATCAACCTACAAACTAAGTTGACTGAGTGCGCAGGTGTCGGCATGAGAATGTTTTAAACGCAAAGCGATCACACGGACTTTCTTCTATCTTCTCTTGTCGATTCTTTATGGTTAACAGACATGACGCCCATAGTCTGTCATATTTGCTTGCGGATATGTATTAGTTCGAAAAGCTAGAAGTGAAGCTCGGCATGTCAAGTCCTAACGTTGCTTTTTCTCTTCCTCGTGAACACAAGAGTCAACAATCGAATGTTGGAAAAGCAAAAGCGACGAGAAAGAACAGCGCGGAAAGAGAAGCTAAGTCTTCGACGAAAGATGTTACGGCGGCTGCAACTACTACAAGCCTTACAGGGGTGAGTGGGGCGAGGAGTGATGCATGTAAAAACAGCATGAATGGTCTCTTATGCATTTGCATAAGACGACTTGGAAGGCGAAAGCCGCATTCTTTCATTTAAGACGACGGACGAGTTGCAAAAAAAAAAACAATAATTTGTCGCAATGCCGTCTGTACGTATGTGCAAAAAACAGTTAACAGCCGCCATTGCGCATGAGAAGTCTCGTGCGTATATACAGGGTCAACATGCATACCACTTTGGCGCACGGATCGCACAAAATGTTTACATCTAAATGAGACGTCTATCCCACGTTCACACTTTGTTCCCTCAACGAGCGCGGCGTTCTTGCGTGTTTTTATTTGTTTTCGTGCACAATGGCGGCATGGCCCATAGTTGTTCGTCGGAACTTTGTACAGTGTTGCTGGAATTTACGCAACTCGTCTCTCGTAGTGGCACCTCAACTCCCACCGTACGCACACGAAACGTTTCTACAGCCCATGCGGTTTCGCGGTTCCTGCAGGATCAGGCATCTTATCACTGAGCGAAGATGTCTTGTGATAAGCCATCACGTGACGTCATCACGACGCCGTGATGATGCCATCACATCATTTTTGTTCATGTTGACGCGTGCGGTCCGTTTTCACGTCCTACGGAGGCCTTCATTTCCACTTGTACTCGGAATAAAAAAAAAGCTAAGGCCTCATAAACCGTGAAAATGAACCATCAGCGCCCTCAACGAATGATGCAAATATGTAATGACGTCAACATTCGGAAGCGACACGGTGCGAGAGTATGTACAACCGATGTCCTAAGGCCCTGAGGGACGTGCCGTAATTAAGGTCCCTCCGTCGTAATGCAACTGCAGCGCTATCTGTAGAGCATCGCCCGTACGAGCGATAGTTCACGAGTCCGAGCACATCAAGTACATGCTCTGTGTGGGGAACTTCGAGCACAGAGGGCGCAAGGCTCGCGCGCCCTGCGGTCGCTCAAATTCACGCCGTTATCATTGCCGCGAAGACGTGGCCTCTCGCAGGTATACGGCGATCCGCGCTAAGCGTGGCCAAATGCCGGAGCACTAATCAAAGAAGACCACAGGACAAGGGGACCAGCGCTTTGTCCTATGGTTTTCGTTATCTTTTTTTTTACGCAGCTTTAAACATCAAGCTTATCCAACTCGCCCGGGTATTACATCCTTTACCTCGGTCTTACTTTGGAGGACCGTAGCACAGCGCAGAGAAGTCCGCTACTATGAGGTGTCTAGTAATATTGTCATATGGTTTTGGAACGTAACAATCCAAGATTTAATTTAATCGCCATACTACGATCATTCTATAGCAGCTGTCAAAGTGCCCGATTGATTGCCTACGACTATAAAAATAATGATTTTAAGGATAAATATGGGTGTCCACAAACGAGCACCTTAACTATAAATATTTCAATCACACTCCCGATAAATGCAAGTTCCATATTTTATGAAGACCGCCAGTTGGGCATGTTGATATAATTTCATGATGAAACAAGTGCCAAAAAGTACGAAGGGATTGTCCTGTGTGCTTTCCGAGCGTTCGCACCTTTTGCGCTTGTTTCATAATGAATCCATATCAATAATTTAGTGCTTGAAATATATATATATATATCTATATATATATATATATATATATATATATATATATATATATATATATATATATATATATATATATATATATATATATATATATATATATATATATATATATATATATATATATATATATAATGGGCCAAACGTACTTCAGAGGAGAAGAGACACAACTTAGCGGTTGTCCTCGTTTTATTTCTAACGGTTTTGACCGGCAGGCCAGAGTCTTCGTCACGGTTTGCGAACAAGGGCTCGCGACGGACGAACTTGTTCGCAAACCCTGACGAAGACCGGTCCACCTGTCGAAACCGAAATAAAATTAGGACAACCGCCAAGTTGTGCCTCTTCTCTCTCTCTCTTTCGGCCACGTGCTGCGCGATCTGCTACCACCGTTGTGTTTTGTTAACGCACAACCCACTCACGCTGACTTGTGCTGCTCATTCTGGGTAGTTTGTTATTTTGTCATTTGCTTAGGAACGTCTACGAGCATGACGATGTTGGATTGTTGGTGCACAAAAAAAATGCAGTTACATAACGCTAGTGAGGACGAAGACACGAATGTATCTAGTGTCTTTTCCTTGTTTCCCTCGTCCTCACCAGCGCTAAGTAACTGCCTTTCGTTCAAGCGAAGAAAATGCATTAGTTATCGTATATACTGGTGCATACAAGCGCGCTACCTCACTTCGTTCTTTCCTTATTTCTTGCTCCGCGAACAGACAACTCATTTTACGGGAAAGCCGACAGAACTCACGTCGACTGCGAGGTCATCCGCTGTTGGAAGCGTAGCCGCGCCGAAGGTGAGTCAGCCACGCGAACCATTCATACAACAAGACGAGCGTCAACTTCCAACTGGTATATTTTGCAAGAGAAACGCCTTTAACCGCGTGGATGTTTAAAGACCACTAAATAACCTCCGATAGTTTAACGTGTCTATTGAAGCCACACATCACGTTTGAAATGGCGCCACGATGAAGAATGCCCAACGCGGCACCGCAAATTAAGGTCCGTGGGCTAGCAAGAAATTCAAAGAATTTTTTTTGCTCCCCGGGCCGTTCCATTTTTAGGAGGTGTTGGCCGTTCAGCAATCCCCAATGTTGGCCGTTCAGCAATCCCCAGTGTTGGCCGTGATGTCAACATTTGCATTTGATAATTCCAGGAACGAGATGAAGTTCTTTGTCTGCCCGCAGGCCTGCGCGCTCGCCGCTCTTCCTCCTCGCACGTGGAGTACTCAGCCTGAAGGGGCCGCCTTTGGAATGTCAAACGCGTGTAACTCCGCTATTACGGCAATGTTTCGACAAATACTCGCGGCTGCGAGTTTGTTGAACCGTGTTCTATGAACGCGATACACAAATTAATCTAAGTCTCTGGGTGGTTTAGGGGCTCCGAGGTGACAGCCCTAGGGATCGTTTTCAGCGCTTTCTACTCCAGCTGCGGGAGCGAAATCTGACGAGAGAGAGGGAAGCCGCGTGTAGCGAGTTAAACCTGATAGAGCAAGGGTAGCAACGTTGCAAATATGAAGTTCGCCGGAGTGTGGAGCTGAAGCTGTACCGGAGCTGGTGTGGAGATGAGGGAGCAGGAGAGAGCCGTGCGATTCGTAGTGCCAGAGAAATAAGTCGTCCAATGGTAGCGCGCTCTCGTGCACAGGTGGTGATTATGAGAGAGGAGGATAGCAGGGGAGCTGGACAGCCTGTCTTATTTTTTTTTGTCTCTTTTCTTCTACTTATCCTAGCTTATAAACAGTTCCACGGTTAAAACCGCATTACAAAGTTCTCTCGGAGATCCACTATTTTGTGTGCTTGTGTTTAGTAACCCTGATTTAAAGTCCTATAATTATACTAATCGAAATTCATGCTCTTTCTGCATTTCAAGATGTAGCGGTAACACACAAAACGATTCGTCGAAATTTAAAATTTTTACGGTTTATCTGAGATTTTGATGCTCAATTTTTCGATTCACGTGAGTTTTCAAATATGCTATACTGAAATCTTCTCTCTCCCTATTTTATGTTTTTAGGACAGCTCTAAGACCTGGGGCGGACTCCTCCTTGAACAGGACGGGATGCGGGTAAGCAAAGCATTTCTGCATGCAGTGGCGTCACACGTGTGTCCACACTTCGAAATATTAAGCACCGAGTGACGCTTGACCACACTTTTCTGCCCGGCCCCTACTTCAACGGACGTGGGAAAACTAACGTAACCAATTTCTGCCAAAGCCTTCACGCCTAACGGCATTCGTCATAAAGGAGTCTTGTGGTAGCTAGCTCGCACGTTTTCGTATAATCAAATTATTGAACACATCAAAATTTATCTAAGTAAAAGATGAGATAAATTAAAATTGAGGTGCAATATTGACATTTCGCGTCACCTCACAAGTTGATCTCACAAGCACCGACGACATTCCCCCTGTTCTGTCCACGTGCTTTCAGTAGCGGCCACGGGTCGCAGCACACTCACAGCCAAAGTCAGTTCGTGAACACTCAGCAAATAGAGCTGCGGTAATTATAACATCTCTAACAGCGGCAGAAGCGCATTGAAAGGCCGCAGAAGCAAAATAATATTCTGCATCATGGGCTCCTTGCCGAGTCCGGCCAGTCAAAGTTATTCCCAAGCACCTCCCCTCCCCACCTAAAATAACGTCCATCGTAAAATGTTTAGTTTCGCGATGTACAAATCACAATCTTCTTAAATTATCGGACTACCTGATTGATTGCCAGTTAGTTATAAGACCACCTCTTTCTCTTATTTTCTAGAGTGGCACAATGTCCCGCAGCCGAATGAAGAGAATGCAAGTGATCGTCATCATCGCCATGACAACGGTGTTCATCGCCTGCGCATCCCTGCTGATATTCCTCGCGTGGTTCGTATCTCAACCGACCATAAAGTTCTGCAACACGCCCGATTGTATAAGGCACGCCCTCGAGCTCAAGAAGGCAATGAACACCCGCGTGAAACCATGCCAAGACTTCTACAAGTTCACGTGCGGCTCCTGGAAGCCGCGGGGCAAAGGGAGGTCCATGGTAGCGCAGGTCTTCGAGCAGTCAACCACAGATGCCATCAAGGAGATGGAGGAGGGTTCCAGAGAGAAGGCCGTGGTGCCCAAGGCACCGGACTACTACAGGAACTGCATACATCGACGCGACCTGACGCCGGCTGAGGCCGGAGTGTTCATCGACTTCAAGCATCAGCTCGGCTTATTCTGGCCGGAGAAGCCGCAAGTGGCCATAGACGCTCTGCTGCCGTTGCTGAATATGACCATCACGTGGAATATCAACCTCCTTTTCCATCTCAGGGCACTTCCCGCCTACAAACGGAGGCCGCAGACACTGTATATCAGGCGAGGTATATTAAACACCAACTGGCTGGACCCCAAATGGACACCGCTAACGTTCGCTGAATCCGTCAGAATACACTGCGGCGTACTTGGAGTCGAGGCGCCGTCCTCCTCGAGCATCCAGGAACTCAAGAACACAGTGGATGACATTGTAAACGCCGCCCTCAAAGTGCCGCCGGACGCCACCAGCGACACGCAGTTCAAGCTCAAGCAGATCGAGTATTTGATGCCCAATCGGTCGGACGACTGGCTGAAGCACCTGAACATCCTGCACAGTCCCCAGTTCACGTGGACACTCGACAGCCCCGTGGCGCTGGAAGACGACGCGATACTGCAGAACCTCAACGCGCTTCAGAAAAAGTACAGGGACAACAAGCAGACGCTCCTGGAAGGCTTCGCGTTCGTATTTGTCCGGACGACTCTGTGGCTATTCGCGGGGAAACCTGAAATGCGCTACGGGACCGACCCCGAGGTCAACCGCTACCTTTGGAAGCGGGTTTGCCTCTCGTATACAACCGCAAACTTCGGTCTTCTCGTCGCGGCCAAGCACATTTACTCGCGCTATACTCCAGCTGTGCGCGCCAATCTCCAACGCTTCCATCACAGCATCCAGGAAGCGCTCAAGCAGCTGATACAAGACGCCACGTGGATCGACGAAACCGTCAAGAATAAGGTGACCATCAAAATAAACGAGCTGACGCTTAACGCGATGCCAGAGGAGAACTTTTTCAACGACGCCAATCTGGCTCGGCTGTACCGGGACTTCCCGACTATTGGCCTGTCGTTTATAAGCAACTACATCGCCGTAGCCACCGCCTACCGCCTCCTCATCGGCCACGACAGCTTCATCAGCGTCTACTCCAAACGACTCGGCGGCGGCGCGCCCAGCCGATATAATTACTACTACAACATCGCTTATATGTCATTGGGCGCCATGGAGCCCCCTATTCTCTACCTAAACGGTACTATGGCCATGATGTACGGTAGCTTCGGCGCCCTTATCGCCGAATGCTTGGTCCGCTCTTTCGATAAGCGAGGCGTCCTCGTCAACGACTTGGGGAAGAGCGAGCTTTGGTGGGACTCGCCGGCTTACACGCAGCGTATCAGATGCGATTTGTTATCAGACTCGGAGACCGGTGGTTCCGACGACGGCGTCCCCGGTACACCGCCACCCGGCAGCCGCGACCCTCGAGAAGTGCGCTTCTCGGCCCTGTTCCCGATAGCACCAGCGTTGACTACGTCGTTCATCGCGCACCGCAAGGCTATCGCCACGGACGGTTACGTCCAACGGCGTTTACACGGTCTCGACGACTTCGACGACGACCAGATCTTCTTCCTCAGCTACTGCCTGACGACTTGCGCCGTCAACAGCACCGGGGAGGCGTGCAATGTGCCCCTGCGACAAATGGACAGATTCGCCAGCGCCTTCCAGTGCGAAGTTGACACACCGATGAACCCGCAAAAAAAGTGCACGTTTTTCTAGCAACTGTGAAATTATATTGATTTGGTATCAATTCTAATTTCTTTATTTGGCATTGTTTTTCACAGGTTAGTTTCAGTTTCTTGTAGCGCAGCTTAGCCGCACAATCGTTCTTCTTTTTTTTACGTATGCAAGACTTGCCACGGCACTAAGCCAACGGCTAACTCGGTGAGAAGCAACTGGTTGCCTTCAGCGACAGACGTTATCAATGCCCTTCACCGTTCATGTACGAAATTTGCTGGATGTCACAGTATGCGCAATTTTATTTCCACTTGACCATTAATGCGAGTGCCGTACACGCGCAGTCCTTGAATAAGGCGGGCACGACTATTAACACGCGCGTCGTGTGACTTGGGCGACTGCTTAGCGGACGTTGCACAAGTATAGCCATCCCGCAATCAAAGGTTTTGTGTTTATTGTATACTCCGCTCCTTCACATACATACGCATGTGCATGATTAGCTAGTGTTCGCCTCGTGTACAGTTCTTGATGTTCTGGCAGGGACATTGGTGAAAGCGCTAATTACCTGCAACCGCAATGCACCCGAAGCTTTTCTTCTTCGCCTTCTCTGATGGTTCACACCCAATAAAGAGTATTGGCTGAGTAGTATGTGATTTTTTTTCAGTATTTCTGTGTACAGTTTTCTGCGAGCCTGCTCGTAATTCATTAGTTCGTGTCATGTTGACGGACCGAATAAAGGTTGAACTTGGTGTGGGGCGTACACGATTATTGGTAACGTGCTGCTGCGTTCCTCCCGCCATTCAGGCTTTCCATAGTGTCGCAACACTACGTCGGGCGCTTGGGGTCAATTTAAAGGTTGGAGTGTCCGCCTTAGTGGAACGGGGCTACGGGGCTCGGCTGGAGACCCGAAAGCCACGGTGGCATTTCCATGGAGGCGAAATTGTATATAGTGGCTCGTGTACTCTCTCTGCACGCTAAAGAACACTAGACCGTTGAAATTTCCTGAGCCCTCCGCTACGCGCCATGCCTCTTATTATCGTTATGGCATGTAAAACATATATGTTACTAAAGGCTTAAGAATGACTTGTCGCGTAAGCCCGACGTACAGACCTTTAATCTCGCTTACTTAAACAATGGGGTTTCAAATAAAAAAAAACGCAGCATATCCACGGAGTGAATGATTATAAGTGGGGCGAAGCGCTGGAGGGTTTTATTGCTAAACCATGAACCATCTGCGAATATTGCCAACTACATCATCAAAGACGTGACAAACACGGAATATATTTTACAAGAAATTTTAATATTCGTAAGTGGTAGCTGTACGTCGCTTCCGTTGCCTCTTCATTATAACAGATTTATGGTCGGTGAGGAGGTGGAGCGGTGATGGGGCGTAGTGGGATGTTTGCATGGACAAACTAGTGGGCAGTTCGCAAAGATGGAACTATATGCGGTTGCGTACAAACAAGGGGTGGACACAGGGGGGCAATCTATGGTTCCTTAATGCGCACCTGAATATAGTACATGATCATCTTGCATTTCGTGTTGGCTACTTCTCAGCAGTATTTACTTTAAGGTCGGTGAAGCGGTGGATCGGTGATGGAGCGTAGTGGGATGTTTGCGAGGAAGAAGCAGTGGGCAGTTTGCAAAGCTGAAACTATAGGCGGTCACGTACATCATACAAGGGATGGACAGACCCACGCATTTAGGAGCTTGCAAGTGCTTTTGAGGCTTGAGGAGGACAAGTGCCCCTTTTGCACTTCCCTGCCGATGCCCGTGTTCGCCCCCCCCCCACCCCCCTCCGCTTCCTTCTTCGGGTTCCAAACTGTAGTGCCGCGGTACCCGTTTGATAAGCACCGGAGTACATTTATTTGGCTGTAGTGTTTGGTGCCGAAATAATCTGTCTAGTTTTCCGAATAATGCTTTATTCGCAATTATTCGACTGACGGGGTGTCCGCAAAAGAAAAAACACCAGGCTTCCGCGGAACGCGCAGCACAGTCACAGCGAAAGCTGTAGGAGCAGTCTTTCGGAGCCTTTTTTAAACAATCTTTGGGTAACTACTACAAGCACCCTTGAAGGGTACCCACTACGTCATTAATCGTTATTTTTGTGTACTAGGAAGGCATTCCCTATTCCAATGAAGTTGCCATATTTCCATGCCATATTTCGTCATTCTTCGGAGAAGCGTGGTACCCGCTACACACTTGCAAGTGATTTTGCGCATTTTTTTTCGAAGTGCTGTGGCTGACGACGATGAAGAAATTATGCCTGAAGCTTTTGTAATAGGGGCTGAAGCATTCAACAGCCCAATCATTACGCAATTCGCATTGTGTGAAACCTGGTTGTTCATTCGCTGTTTTAAACGCTTTATTACTCATATTAACGCGATTTAATTCTCGACACTGGATGTTTTTTTTTCTCTCTCTTCCTATATGCTTTCTGAACAATGTCCCCCCCCCCCCTTTGCCTTCTCATCACCATCAATTCCCTCTGCCATCTCTTGCAATACATAAGCAGACTATACTATACTTTATTATGCGCTATGTTCTGCTAGCAAGCCAGGATTTGGATGACCGAGTTGACTGATGAGGCTCGTAACCACATCACAAGTGGTTACGATGCTCCCCTACGGATCGTAGGTACGCAGGTCAGAATCTCTCCTTGCCAATAACTTTTTTTCTCTCTTTCGCCACAAATTTCTCTCTTTCGGTCGCTCTGTGCTAGCTATCTGGCCCATCAAGGTCACGCCAGATAAATCGATGCACGTGTTCTGGGAGCGACACAGAAGAGGGGCGAAGATGATGAAAAGAGCTCGTGTCATTTCACGGTGATGATAATGCACCATCCCACGCGCCAAATCTCGACCATAAAAGTTCTGTTGTTATAAGTTAAAAGCTCACGTGGCGAAGACATTCATGTGAGGGCCGGGCCGCTGCCGACCCTCACAAGGTCCGCAGACCACGTATTTGAGATGCCAGACTTGAAGAACACAAAAAATCAATTGCTCGTGCCGCAGACGACGAAGAGGATGCACCACGCGGGATCACGAGACGAGAGTTCGCGAGCCTCGTCATACGCCAACAGAAACGCACTGGTCGACTATCGCGGCAGACACCGTCCAGCTGCGTCGCTTCTGCGCTCCGAGTCGTAGCGTCGCCCACAATGGCTGCCAAGGCAGCGCAGGCTCTGGAGAAGCGAAAGCGCGCGGGTTCCAGGGCGTCGATCGGGTCCGTCTCAGCTTCATCGAAAGGGGTAAGTGTGGCAAGCTCTTCTTCCGGAAGTAAGCCCCGCACGTCTCGTGGATCACTAAAGCGCCTGATGTTGATGAATGTTCATGTCGTACATAGCCTCATTTTGCCGAGTTGAGGCATGTACATGTTGGGAATCTATTTTTATTTTTATTTTTTCTATTTCTATTTTTACACGGTGCCACCTCGCCGCATGCGCCCTTCCCCTAGCGGAGAAGTCCCGAAACGCTCTCACGGGGTCTCCGCTGTAGTCCTTCAACATCGAAGGCTTTGGTTATGAATATCCCGGTTGTGCTCGATAAACTTACAAACGCGACAGAATTTCACGTCGTTCATGTTATTACCAAACCATCACATTCGTCAGATCCTCTTGACCTCCGACGCCAATTTTGGTTAACACGAAATCAATCACGAGAACACTCAGACGTAGGCAGATGGATGGATGGGATGGACAGCTTTATCCTGCCATGATATTTCAGGTTAGCTCCATCCATCTACCATCCTGCATCATGAGTGACTTAGGCTCGCTGCACCATCCATGCATCATGCATAAGTGCCTTGCATGTTTGCTTAGAAATGTCTTGCATTTGATAACAGTTTAGGCACAATTGCGAACAAGCAAGGTCTACGTGTTTCGTTTGTGCTTTTGTCTTCTTGCGTGTCTGTGCGCTTAAACGTTTGTTTTGGGAAAATAGGCGGTGCGCACGGGGAGGCCTCTCAATAAAGAGGGGGAGGTCAAAATAAGCCCCATCCATTGACTTAGCAGGGAGAGGAGAAACGCTGCAATAAACCACTCCCTACCCCACCCACCCTTCTTAGGGACGCCTATGATTCACGCCTATGTTTAGAAAACTTAGCACGCTGACACTTTCGCGAACAGGGTCGACTAGAGCTAGGGTGAATACCTCATTGGTATTAAGCCCCTAAAACCAGGGCGTTCGTAGCACTTCCCGAGGGAAGTGTTCGCCATGTGACTTCTAATTATCAGCCTTCTATAAGGTCTTGAGCACAGAGCCTTCCCTTTAGATGTGCATCACCCCTGCATAACTATATAATCTGCCCGTAAGTCAGTGTCGTTAGTGAGTTTGAGATTTGGTCCACTGTTGTCCACAGCCGAGCTTCGCATCTCGGCAGGACCAAAATGCAAGACGTGCGGGGCATTGAACAGCGCCAGGAGGCCAAAATAATTCCCGAGTCTAGCAATGGCATGCCTCAATCATACCACACGTAACGACCCAACACAAAGTTTTCAAAACAGGAAAAAGTGATACAGATAAAACGAAGAAGCTTCCGATGGCTGAAATCTTAACCAACTCTTTCAAGCTTCAATCGTGTCCAAAGACTATTTAGATAACTGTAGGCTTTGTAACGTGACCTTCACATAAAAGCAGGCGTTTCTGCCTGCTGTTTGCTTGATGCGAGAAAAAATAAAATTGGATCGAAAGCAGCACTTCGGTCTCAAGGTACCATAATATAGAGCATGGTCGTGCTTGCGCATTAGCTGTTGTAGTACGCTTCACCTTATTGCAATTAAATGCTTTATCGTTTCTTCTCTTTTCACACGTGATTAGAAAGGCTCGGCATCGACGAAGTCATCAAAGACCACACCGAAGATTACGCCTAAGATACGCCTAAGATCACGCCGAAAACCACGCCGAAAACCTACGCCGACCAAAATGGAAATGGAGGAAAATGAAGGCAAGGCTTTCCAGACCGGAAACACTCAAATGGCAAGTCACGCTCATGAACATCGTAACAAACTTGGAGCCTTATTAGACAAAGAAAAAACACCGAGG